GAGGAAAATAAACTTCATGACTGATTCAAACCGTACAGTACAGATTGCTCACTGGAACCCATTCTCATTTTGCATCTTCTTCGCTAAATAGGTGACCGCTTAATGGGGGTTCGAATGTATTGGTAACCATGTCATCATTAATGTTCCGGCCCAAGTAAACGGTGAGTTAGGAATCCAATTTTACCCTTTCAGTGCACTCTAAAATTGATAAATCCGGAACATTTACGAATCCAGAAAATCTCCTCTGGTGTAAACGTAGTCTCAGTCAATTTCCCTACCATAGGGTCCCTTTCAAAACTCCCAGCAGAATTTTTTCTTGATTAGAATGCGCCTCACGAAAAAACTAAGTTTTTTTCAAACCTTTTAAATTCTTATTATATCTCTGTTCATATTTTATCGCTTTTACTATATTTTTATGCATGTTAATATTTAGTCTTGGACCGAACTTGGAAATGATCGTTGAACGGTGCAACTTCGTTCTTTCTCTGGCAATTTAGTCAAGTTAGAATTTAGCGTGCATTTTCCTAAAAGGTATAACGAGTACCCCCGTCTCTGTTGTATGGAAGTTCCCCCCACCACGCCCTTTTATATGGGAGTCCGTTCCCGGGGGGAATTGAAGGGTGGTGGTTGGGACAATGGCCTTTGACATCAACAAAATTCAGCAAATGTGCGGTATTCAAACACCCGCCCGACATTTCGTCCGCACTGAAAGCAATGCAAAAATATCAAGTTCACACATCCAGTTCACTTTGGAGGAAGAAAAGAACGGCAGAAGTCTATTCCTTGACACTGCTTAAATGTGAACCAAGAAGACTCAACGAAGGTAATGTGTACCGGAAAACGACTCATCAGAGATCAGTACCTGAATTTCCATTCTAAACATCATCTACAACATAAAAGAGCTGTAGAAAGCTTTTTCAGTTTCGCGGGTCTTTTATTTCTCAGAAAACTGCTCGCTTCTCGGAAGAAATAATTTCCGCGGACAAATATCCCAGCATGTATATTTTCACGCTAACAAGAGAACATTTTTTATATAGCATAAGTTTAATTTTTTGCGGTGATTTAGGGTATTCAATCAATGACCAATAATTACTAACAAGAGGCTATGATCTTATTGTTGATAGTCACAAACATTCTCCCACAAATTAACGCAATTCTGAGTTGAGTGGCGAAAAGGGATTTGGGTTGCTTTAGAACCCTACATGATTGGCTTCTTCACCCAACCAGAAGTAAAAACAAACGATCGCACGCGCGCTGAGGACGAAAGCATAAGTAATCTGCGCCCGCTCGAAGGAAAACGTCAGTGTTTTTGGATATTTTATGACGTCAACATGAGCACAAAAAGCAAAACTGACAGTGAATTTTCTTGCGTTTCCTTCGGTGAAATTCCGTAAAATTTGGCAGATTGGTGGTAAATATTTTACTTTAGTGGAACTCGTTTTTCAGGGAAATCTATAGGACCATGTTTTTTTTGCAGCGGCAAAAGATAAAAATTTGAAAAAATCGAAAAAAACTGCCTTTACAATCCCTACTTTTTCGTGTTTAAAATTCGTATCCCGCTGGTAGCGATGTGCTGTAAAAATTTTGGAAGATTGCACTGAAGGAAATTAAAGAAAATCACAAATAAAGCCATTAAAACAGTAAAAAACACATTTGTTTGGGTATTTATAATTCAAGACTAAAGCCCAAAATGTTAACCAAGATGATAGCAAAACACTATTTAAGCATCATTTATTACGGGTAATAAGTTTGGGAGGACTGGGTGTGAAAGCGAATGCAAAAACAGCACTCAAAACATAACACTTGCGCGCGCAACGCCATAAATGATTTAACAAATTGACGTCAGTTTTTTTATGCGTCTGTCCTCTTATTGATGATAAATTACGTCATAACATTGTCAAAGTGGCTGTGGAACCACGAGCCGCAGGCGAGTGGTTCTGCAGTAAACTTTGATAATTGTGTTATGTATTTACTTTACGTTTTGATTCACGGCTTATCGGATTTTCCGTGTCGCTTGTGATTGGCTGACGTTTCAAACAAAACGCTTATTGCAAAAAAGAACCATAACAGCAAAATCGCGATTTCCACGTATGATAAGAAATGACAACCGTTACTTTACACCAATACAGCAGTGACTGTTATCCAAACTTCATTTTCTGATATTCCAGTACACTTAAGAACGTTCGCGCAACGGATTTTTTTTAAAATTTTTACTGCAGTCAGATAATGAGTTACTTGTGTCGGAAATGCAAAAACTGGGGGTCACCGACTTAAAGCGTGTGAAAAACTAGCCTGTTTTTGAAAAATTGGCGTATGTAATTCAGCATGGTCTACAGGGGTTTATAGTTCAACGGAGGCAAACGATTTCAGTCATATTTTGTAGAAGTGGGTGTGTTGCTCAAATAATTCTAAATGTTGCCAACGTTTTCACCAAACTTAACCCTTCAAGAGGCATTTGAAACCGTCGCACAGATAAACGAAAAGCTCAAAAGAACGGATCTCGATGATGCATTTTGCAAAAAGTTCAACTGAGTTCTAATCGGTAGATTTCCTTCGATTTTTTGCTAAACGTAGAAAAGCGGTAGAGAAAATGATCAATCAAAAGAAAAACGGGGGTAACCGAACGTCCAAGATCGTTAAATCCAGGCAAAGCTATAGCAATGGCCATCTGCTTTATCATTGTCCATTTTATTACCTAGTGCGCACTCGATGGATGACGTGCATATGAATTAGCAGTGCAGTTCCTTTGAGTTAGTTTTGAAATATTCGTCCGTATCGATCTGTCGTTCTTGTGTTATACAGTTTAAACCCTATTTAACGCAGCCACCCTCGGAGAAATAGATAGTGGCCGCTTAATAGAGGTAAAAACAATAGATGAGCCTTCATCAGGACTTTGATTACTAGCTGTCTAATAGGGGTGGCCGCTTAATAGGTGGCCGTTTAATAGGGTTCGACTGTACCTGTAAAAAGAAAAGAAATAGAAGGGCTCAACTCGGTCAAATCTCGCCATTATGCTGGCATTAAGCGCGTCACCATCGCAGCTGTCAGAATAGATGAACCGTGAAAACAAATGTAACGATTTACCGATTTGCTGCTATTAAATCTTTGAACCGCAACAAATAACAATTTTAAATAAGGAAATGAAATGGAGCGTATCTTCTTGGTAAGGTAGCAGAGTGAGTGTCGATTTTCAAACGGGGTCAGGATTTAAGATATATCAGCCAATTTAAGCTTACTGATTTTGTTTCCGTGTCGTCTGAATCAAAACTGTAAACTATGTTTAGATATGTCTTAAATGTTCAAAGAATCACTAATCCTTCGTGTCGATCGTGAATGAATTATACTAATTTATCCAATATTTTCAACCCGTTCCAGATTACACTAATTCAGTATGTATCGTGGGTAGCAATCCTGTATGAAACTAGTACAGTTCCTAAAGTGTCAGCTATTGGTTGACCGAAAAGCAGCGATATGTCTCAGTTACATGGTTACAGTTGTTGGTATATATCGGAATGAAGCAGACAAGTAAACAATGTCACGACAATAAGAATCATAGCGTGACAGCTGTGCTGACACTGCTGCCGAGAAAAAACACGTTAGCTAGAATGGGTAGTATGAGTCATCACACGTTGTTCTATTTGGAGACAGAATTCTTCGAAGCTGACAATATTCTCTGCCATGGGTGCTCAAGTTTTGCTCTGTTTTACCGCTTTCCTTGTGATTTTTGTGTCGCTGGAAAGCGTTTATGCCCGTCCATCAGATGCAAAAAACGTCACTGATTTCGATTCGGGTAAAGTGATCGTTAAAGGCAATTACAATGCTGTGAACCTGTACCCCGAAAAAGACGTGAAAACGGCTTTAAGTCAGCTGCAAAAGAAGCTAGAATCATTGGAAGGAAGGATAGATGCCCTGGAGAAATTTAAACCAGGTACATCTGTCTCATGATTTATTTCAGCGTGTCGCCTAGCGTTTTAGCCAGTACTGTGGCAAAACTTTAAGACAAATTTGTTATGTGCGTAGTTTTCAGGCCAGTTTTATGTACAGTTCACCGATCAGTTGACTGTTAGTTTATCAAAATTTCTAATGCATCGCATTTAATGTAATACTTTAGAAAATAGCCCAAAAATACGCGCGTTGATTGATTTGAAATAGATACATTATGCTTCGTTTATTTTGCTAATTAAGCGTGCAAGTTCGACTTTGAAGACGGAATCCACGGTTGGGATAAGACTGGAACAGCGTTTAACAACCAGCCGACCTATGGTGATAACCCT